CCATTAATTTTGGATTAAATCAAATCTAGTATTACAGCTCCTGATAGTAGAACTGTTGCTTTCACTGCGGATTATAAAGTACAGGAATGCACACTATGCTCATTTCCATGATTGATCTTTAATAATATTCAGAGTGACACACACATGTGCTGTTGAGGGTTGGATGGGAATCCACGACAATGTTGAGCACTGTGTGACATGCAGCTTCTCTTTGTCTGCAGCTATTTTAATTGGCCAGCAGTAAATACTCACTGTGGCTCAGATGTTGTCACAGGCAGCCTCTTCACTCATGTGCAGGGTAATTCCCAGCTCTATAAAATTAAGCCACTGCGGGAATATAGGTGATGGTGCTACCTGACAGAAAGTGACATCCAGCTTAATAAAATGTCAGAGACTGATTTATGATGATGGTCTGCAGGAGACATATAGTGCATTATTCTTCTATACACTTTTAAAACTACACTGATACGACATGGAAAGGATCATTATTTTTTAAGTTTGCGAAATATATTGAAGCAGATTTGAGCGTCAAATAATACAACTATTTTTAGATCAGTGCGCGTATTATCTCCCGAGCTGTTCGCGATAAATCGCTACTTTTCAAATTATAGCCTCAAACTAAATGTTGTCAAATATTACATGCTGCAATACATATTATGGTTCTTTACTTTTGCACAATTTCTGTTCAGATTCTGAGAAATCCGTGTTTTTTTTTTATAACAAAAGTGCGGTCATTTGATCAGAAACAATGACATTTATCCAACATCTGCATTGCCATCACATGAACAAACGCGACAATTAAATTAGAAATTATTCGCATCCAGAGAGGAAAATCAACTTTTCAGAATAAATGCTTCAATTGAATGCTCACATTTTAATTGTATGGGACTCACCTCAACTTTGAGTTTGATGCTCACCCAGATGGCTCGACTGAGGCGCGATTGTGATTGCTGAGTTGCGCTCGGAGGCTGAGAAAGGGAAAGCCAAGTGCGCTCAGCGTGGAGAGCCCTCACATCTGCCGGGATAAACGCCCGACCTTCAGGTGCTCCAAGTCTCTCCAGACGGTGATGATGATGGATACCAAATGACTCACTGCTTTCTCCTCGAACCACTCTCCCCCAGAATCCCTCTATCATCATCATCATAACCACCACCCAACCATCCTCA